GCTTGCTAAGCCTACTACCACCGCAGCACCGAAACACGTTACAACAACAGCTGCACCACGACACGTTCAAATTCAACATACAGATGATAAGACAAATTCAAAGAGTGTCGTTTCAACGCTCGTTGTATCAAACAAAAGATCTTACTAGTCATGATGCAAAAGCGACGCTATCATCGACAATCAGAGATAAATGTCAAGACGATTTGAGTACACAAGGGCACGATGAACATACAATTCAATCGGTTGATGTAAGAAAAGTCCCGGATGAGGTTTTTTGTTTATCAATATTTGTACTGGTTTTTTTGTCTTGCTCTTTTGTTCTTCTCTTTACCATTTTACTTGTATCTTCTCGCAGCAATATAGCAAGCGATAGTGCAAATACAGCATTTCGATGATGATCATTCACCCATGACTGTATATGGCCATCTTTACATGCATCCGTCTTCCCCACATAGCTTCGTGTAGATCCTGTCAACTTTTTCTAGTCAGAAGGGTGAGGTTAAAAATCATCAAGTCATTTCTTGGTTACTCGCTTTCAATTGAGAGCGCTAATGAATTCTTACTACTACTGTCGAAACGACTGCGACTTATCCTTTAAAATAAAATGTGTTTAATATAGCTTCTCCATTCCCTTGATGACTCTTAATCAGCGTTCTGCTACACGTGGTACGAGAAAGCTTAACAATGTCTTTATCAAAGGTTTCGGAGATTACTTTAGATAACAAAAAGTTATATCGTTTATTTGCACAGTATGAAAATATTATTAGCTGTAAGGCAGGTACTCAAGTTTTGTTTTTTTTACGTATCAGGGACATTTACATATTTTAGGTTCGAATTGATGAAAATGGTTGTGCAAAAGGCTTCGACAACTTAAAGAACGTAATAAAAAGTATGAAGGGCTGAATTTATATATTCAAAATTTGGATGATACAATTGATGATGAACGTTTAAAAGAAGAATTCGGTAAATTTGGAACAATTACAAGTGCAAAAGTACGTTATTTTATTGCTTAGATTAAAAGTCAAGAGTCATACAAAATCAATGAGTAACTGATCGTTCGTGCGTATAAATAAAACCTGAGATTGAGAGCGAAGTAAAGGGCTAATAAGCAAGTAGAGGATACCGAATGAAAACATGACGTGATGAGAGTGCCAGGAGAATACTCAGTTGGTCAGAAAATCAGGACCTATTGTTAATTGCACGTTAACTTTTCAACTGTTTTTTCTGTTTCTGCTCATGTTGAATACCAATTCAAGAACGCAACAATACAGTTTCCGCTATATACAATGCATTTTTTATACTCTCAACATGGTGTAACAGAGGATTTTTGTTCGGACTTTTTGCAGTTTATGCCTGCTTTCTTTGGACGTTTTCAAAGTACCAGGCTACTACAAATAGGTTAAGTTGCGAAGGAAATACATAGTAGTGTTGATGGGAAGAGAATAGAGAGACAATTTCATTTTTGTGATCGCAAAGTTGTGGTTAATTTCTTCAACCATTTTGTACACTAAAAAGGGTCTCGTTAGAAAATTGGTAGATTTCAAAGACTTTTTGAGTGTTTTTACACACTAAAAGTTGATGTCATGGCAATTGTAAATTTTCTCGGTGTATGCTCTTATCGTTGATGATGTTAGAGGATCTGGCGTTCCGTCTTACTTGTCTCACAGAGGGTTGGACGCGAAGGTATCCCGTCTCATTCAGAAGTATATGCGAATACGTATCCTATGAAAGTTGAAAAATTAACTGGTTTCTTCATATTTCGAAAAATACTATATAAAAAACCGGTTTTTCATTTTAAAAGCCTTCTCACGCCCAAAGTTGAGATTGAAAACGCTTGAGGAAAAAAACGAACCTGAGATAGGGTCTAAAGTATGTCGTAATAATTTGAGATCGATCGAATCATTTTTTCGACGGGTCGTAATGTGACTGGGCTGACAGGACTGTCGAAAAAACGCATAGTGAGAAAAACACATAATATTTACAGAGCTGTGTTTTTCAGGACATTTGCAGCGATGCTTATATCTCCGCGAAAACTCATCGGAAAATTCTGAAAGATATCTCAGTTTGAAGAGCACGCTTCCTTCTCTCATGCTGTTTATAAAAAAAAATTCTGAATATATAGGAATGGAGAGGAAACTTTATGAACCTAAAAAATTGAGATTTTCTGGGCTTTTAATGGAAAACTTCATAACTTTTCAACGAAGGTCGTAGAGACCTGGGAGTGATCTCGCTTTGTAGCCCAGACTTTCTTCTCCATTAGACTATGTTCAGCTTAAAATGAAAACTTTTCTGCAAAAACGAGGGGGTGCGGGGGTACCCTTAAGAATGGCTCGTATCACCGAACTGCACCCACACTGGAAAACGCTGTTTTCGTAGGACTCTTGCTGAACGCCCAGAAACCTGTTGTGGTTGATGGTCAATGTGCAAGCGTCCGTCAAATTGTTCACGAGAGAAGATGTCTGTCCGTTCCTGATTGGTATCAACAACGTCCACGGCACGGGAAACTGTTATGTGACCACGATAGCTTGTTCGGATCATTGTCTTCATTGAATGCCAGCGCTTCCAGAGCAAATTCGATGCTATCTCCACTTTGCTTTTCGAGCATCGTGTAAGATGTTTCTCAAAATTGTCGCGTTGAATATTGCTTTTCTTGCATTGGAGACATTGAACGAGAAGACCATCAAGCTGATCGGAAAGAACGGAAGTCGTCACTCTGTTGAACGTATGTTCAGATCCGAATTGGTGGCGACAAATTGGACATGAGCTATTCTGCATCATCCATCTATCGATACAAGATTGACAAAATGTGTGTTGACAGTAGAGACTGACAGGCTTGAGGAAAGGCTCCGTG